ATCATAGTTTAGAAAATAAATTTTTAAAAAAATTATTTTGAGAATAAATTTTGTAAAAAAATGATTTAGATAAAGTGAGAGTATTTAGAAAGCTGTTATCATAACCACTTTTTTTCATATACCAATCAGCAAAAAAAGATATAAATTAATATGATAATTACATAAAACATATTTTTATTTTATTTTTATTTAAAATAATATATTTGTTAATAATATATTTATTGCTAACATAATAAATGGTATATATAAAATATAATTAATTAATAATTAATATGTGTATAATTTATTGCCCAGAACTATGGTTTTGAGGCCAAATTATGGTTTAATAAAAATATAGTGTTTGAATTTTTTTAGACCAAACTATAGTTTGCGATCTAAAAATACTTTCAGCTAGTTTCCGAAAAACACACTTCATCCCAAAACCTTCTTCATTTGATTATATGCAATAGTCATAATTACTTAATGTAAATTGTAAATGGCAACTTCATCCCAAAACCTTCTTTATAAGATTAGTTACGGACATTAATGTTGCAGGTTGCTCTAATTGCATTGACCACTGCAAATTGTCAATGGACTAAATAAGAGAAGTTACTAATGATCTTTAATATAAAAACTGCTCAATTAATTTAAGTAAATTAATAAAATTAATTAATTTAGCTATTTGTAATAAATAGAGTTTGATTTTTTACAAAGTATCTCTTTTAATCATAACTATCCTTAAATGAAAACTTCCTAATATGCATATAATTAATATAGATACTTTAAATAATGAATTATAAATTTGAGAAGACAAAATAGATTGAGGTCTTATATTTATTATCAAATTTAATTCTCAACTAACTTTTATATAAAAAAACCGATAAATTTAGAGAATAAAGTAGATTGAGATCTTATATTCTTAAATCCCATAACAATTCTCGCATGAAACTTTGTTCTCCATCTCTAAATTATCTTTGTTAATAAAATTCGATCCAACGGCAACAGTCCTAAATTTTTGTTACGGCAAGATTACACACCCTCTTTCCATTTAAGCAAATGACTTTTTTTACACACCAAAAAAAAAAAGAAGACTTTTTTTAATTTAAGCCAATGCAGAGTTAACAAGAGGCTTAAATAATATTATCATGCCAGCTTGTGAAAGCAACGTAGAAATCTCCTTTAAGTCTTAATTTCTTTTTCTTAATTTATCCATTACGTCAAAAAGTAGACATTTTTATTCCTACGTTCCCAAATCAAGGAAACTTCACACCCAAAGCTTCAGATTTTTTTCTTTCAAAGAGTTCATACCCGACACGATTATAAATGTGTGGTTGAATTGATAGATATTATTTTTTTAAAAAGAAATCTAGACAATGAATTCTATATTATGAAGTGAGTCAAACCATTTGTGATTTATGAATAGTATGATTAACACTGATGATTACATATACATTTTGACGTATTGATTATTACCTTGATCATGAAAAATTTGAATAAACCATATATAATGAAATTATTATATTTTTAAATTATAATTATTATAGTAAGATATTACACAAATTTTTTTAAAAATCATAAGTAATAAACACGACATTTTATACATTTTAAACCATAAATTATCTTTAAATACAAACAAATAAATATTCCCTCATGTCTTCATTCCTTGTAATACATAAGAATTACATACAAATTATTTGGGGAAAAAAAACGTAAACTAGCTAATTAGATAATTAAAAACCTCAGCTACTTCGAATCTGCTTGTTAAGCGTATTTTTCATAATTTTATTCCAGTGTTCTTTTTTGGTTAATGATGATTTCTTTTCATAATTGACGCATATATTATATTTTTCGTAAAAGTTTCGAATCTTCCACTTAAGAGAGCGTTAAAGGAAGTGTTTGGTTTACTTGGGGGGGGGGGGGAAGAAGTATCTGGTTCGGTCAGAGTAAAAAAGAAAGTGTATAGTATCAGCTGAGTAATAAAGTTTTGGCCAATATGTGAATATTTAGGTTTTTTTTTGTGGTAAGTGGATATTTAATTTTATGTGCTTACCATCACCTCCAATCAAATAATAACTGGACATGTTCTTTATTCTCAAACATCATGCTCTCTTCGTCTGTTTTTATAAACAATATAAGACTCCATTATCTAGATAAAAAAGTTAGTTAAAAATAATAAATAGATAAAAATTAGTTTTCTTTAAAATACCCTTATTTATGAGGAGAGAGTACAAGAAAAAGAATAAAAAAACACTTTGGTCCTAAATATAAAATCTATTTTGTAGTGAAAATTACACATACAAAATATGTCTTATATTTAGGATTGGAGGGAGTATTATAATAAAGAGAATTATGAAAGAGAGAGAATGTGTGATTGAGAGAGATGATGGTTAGAGAAATGAGATAATAAATATATTAAATATTAAAATAAGTAATTAATAGAGGTAAAATAAAAAATTTGTTATAGAAATTTAAGCAAGTTGCAAATATTACTTATATTTAGGGATAAGAGCAGAAATTGTTGTTTTGAAAAAGGATGGAGGGGGTATCAATCTACTCATTAACAACCCTCCATTTGTTAACTAAATTAATATTACAAACTCACTCAGGAAATACTTAAAGCAACAACATATGCCAGTTGATAGGTTGCCTGGAAAATATCTTTACGTCAAAGGAAGTTGTAGCTCGATGGAATTGGTCTTCACGAGGGCTTTAGATAAGTTTGCCGTATTCTAGAAACCCATGTTTCTTTTTTCAATTTTTATTTTAAAATGTCGCCTTTTTGGTTTTCTAAATGTTGCTGAATCATTTATCACTTCACCCAATTATGGTTGATGTACTACATGCTAAACATAAAAATACTTGATTAATTTGAGTAGATTAAAAAAATTATTTAAATTAGTTATTTATAATAAATATGTGTTGTTTTTCTTAAAATATTTTTACTAATTAAGTATATTAGCTATAATTATCATTACTACAAGACTACATTTGGAAAATATGTGAATCTGAGAGATAAAGTAGATTGGAGTCTTATATTTAGAATTAAAATAAAAATCAAACTAACTGTTATATTAAAGATAGGAGTTAGTATAAGAGTTGCATACTAATTTATAGATATTAAGAAAATTAATTAAACTAATTGTTTATAAAAAATATGTATTGTTTTTCTTAAACTATTTTTTTTTGTCATTTGCACTAGAAACAAGCTTTTTGATAAAAACTTGGGTTAAGATATGTTCAACACTTTTAAATATTTTACCCAGTGTATCTCATATCCTAAATTATTTCATGGTTTATCCTGAAATATTTTTTTAAATACGATCACCATACAAGTATTTTATGGTACAATTTTCTTCTTAAAGAATTACTTTTTCAAGAAAATTATGCCGTTAAAGTATTTTTTTAGTATTAATTTTAACCTTACTGTTATTTCCTAAAAAGTCCATTAAATAAATAAATGTGCATCAAGCATCCTAATTAAACTCATCTATCAAATTTTATATTTAAGATTAGGGAGAGTATATTCTATAACTGTTAAATTTTCATTGCTTTTATTCAGCTTATTTACTTTGGTCATCCAAATGGATAATGGAAGAAGAATCCGTCAACTTCCTTGAGTTTGGCTTTTAAGAAAGAGGAAAAAGATGTTACATTTTATCAAAAACGAAAAAAAAACCAAAAAAGGATACCATTCATATAAATTCATGAATATCAACATTTCTTTGAGCAGTAATAATCTAATTAAAAATTTTATTCAATTTGGGATTTTCTAATTAATTAGAGTATACTGCATAATTATTTAAGCAATTATTTCCCTTTTAGTTACATTTACGACCTAATAATTACATTTAACTGCTTCTATTTTATTACTAGCCTTAATTTAATGCATGATAATTTTTTTTGTTATTCGTTATTTGCATATATTAGGATATATGATGATATTTTTGACCAGGAATATATGATGATATGGACAGAATAGGATTTAAAGGTATAATATATTATTTAGAATTAGGATTGGAATGTTCAAAAAAGTTATGAAATCTAGATCTAGATTCGTTTAAAATCATAATACACAAATTCAAATAAGTTAATTTTTATAATTAATCACGAAGACATAAACAATTTTATTTATTTTGTTTGTTATTGGCGCAGGCAGAATAAAACAGCTAAGTGCCTTTGTCTCTTTCATTTATTTATCGTATTTTGCTGCGATACTTGGAATTGTCGAACTTGGGCAGGTGGGTTACCGTTTGACTGCTTCCTTATCTTTGACCCAATTAATTATTAATTAATTAATAAGAAAACTAGAGATTTTTATTTATTTTTTATTTCACATATTAAATTATTAATTATTATTCCTACCGTTTTTTTCATTAAAAAATTTGGCTATTTTTTTAGTTTAGTTTTATTCTCAATTGGTACTCATTTTTAAATTTTATTTTAAAGTGGGCTAAATAAAAGAAAAATCTCCTATAACAAAATTTATCATCCGAAGTATTTAGGTACCTGAGTTCTCAGGTGGTTGCAATTTTAATAAATTTCATATATGTTTGGATAATAAATTTGCAATTGGGATTTTTCAACAATTTTCTCCCTTTTTGCCTAAAAGTAATTTTGGGGGTGTTTGGATAGAAACCAAACCATGGTTTCAGAAATGTTTTTACGGATTACGAAGTAAATATGTGGGGGAGGTTACCTCATTTTGCGAAAAAATGTTTCTGAAACTGCGGTTTTGAGAATGCCAAACACCCTTTTAAAGTTTAGAATTCATGTCAATAAAATAGTGTTTTTTACTGTAATTTTTATTTTTTGAATATTTTAAGAGATCTGATGGGTTGATGAGCTCAGGATCCGTAGACAGGGACGGTTCACGGAACCGATAAACAACAAATGTCCAGAATTCACTGGTCTTGAACACTATTTTTTTTTTTTCTTTTTCTAATAAAATAAAATTAAATGAAATTTGCCCTCGACGTGTATTTGTTCCATTTCCGAAGGTTTCAGGTTCTGATTTTTCACTTTCGCACGTCACTTGAGATTTGAGAAGCTGACTGGAAAAAGAGAGGAAAAGAAAAACGGAACGGAATCCATCATATTCATCTCCTTCTCCGCGTTGATCTGTGAATCAGTCTTTTGGCCATGGCGGAGCGTGATTCTTACGGGCTGGGTCCTCGATTAGGTCAGTTTATTTTATTTTATTTTGTTTCTTTAAAATCATTTTAATAATCTTTACCCAATTTTCGCTTGGATTCCCCATTTTTGTTTTTGGGATTTTTCATTGCGGGGCTTTCCTTTGTTTCAACTTTCGATCCTAGAGTTATGTTTACTTGACGAATCGATAGAGGAGTGATTACAAACGGTGCTCATTCGCGGTTGGAGCTCTAGTGTGGTCCGTTCGAGGTTGGGAAAGCCATAGGCAGTTTTGCTTTCTGGTCAAACCCTATTAGTTCAATTTATATATTAGACTCTGGAGGTGGAGAAGCGTCCTTAAATTCATTTAGACAGCATTATGGATTAGTTCAAATGAAGAAAATAGATCAATGCGCTGAAGAAAGTTGAATGTCGTTTTTTTTTTTGGGGGGGGGGGGGGGAATTCTGGCTGATGCTAATTTGCATCAGATTCAAGCGTGCCTACGGAATGTATGGCCTATAAGGAGTCCATTTACTTTAAGCGAGCTTCCTGAATTAAGCAGCTGGTAACAAATTTTTTGAAAGCTCTGGGGCCAATGTATCTTGCCCTGTATTATTTACTGCTCTACCCATAACGTCATGGGGGAAAGTATTCCTTAAGCTTGGCAGACACTAGTGGTGATGGAAGAATAGATTGACCCATAAAGATCAAAACTCTTGAGAGGCATACTTTGTAATCTGGCGACAAAGTAATTCCTCAATGTCAGTTCCTTTACGACGAGAGAAACTGAATCAAGGGCAAAGACAAAGTATGCAAAATTCCTTTTGTAGTGATTCTTACTAGGCATTCTTCAATAACTTCATTGGCTTGTAGGAAAGATTGATCGGAATTACATTTGCGAAAATTATAACCAAGGCCTGGCCTGATGGCTGAAACTATGAACCTACGAAGCAAAGTTATTAACATGCAATGATAGTTTTCACGATGATACATTGAGGTCAAATAAGATGATTTGGCCTACCATATGTAGCTCTTTAGTTTTTGTTTTTTTTTTTAAATTTGAGCATGAATTTAATGAATAATTGGTTTTTATATTTCTGATTAAAATTTTCGTTCTCCCAGCTTTCCTCATTATGTTTTACTTGTTTCTGTTCAAATCTGAAAGCTCGCTGGTATTACCAATATATGGCTAAATCTAAGTTTTCACTATGCAGATATTCAGCAATTACAATTTGAAGCCCAGCATCGTTGGTTGCGGCCTGCTGAAATTTGTGAAATTCTTCGTAATTATCGGATGTTTCATATCACATCAGAACCTCCAAACATGCCACCAAGTATGGTTTCTGCATCTGTTACTGATTAATTGATTGTTACATATAAAGTAAGCAATTCGTGTTTAGATGAGTTAAATTGTTTGTGACTGGATATCAAATCTAACTGATTTTGAAGATTCTCAATGAATTAAAGGGTAGTGGTAGCCCTATAGGTGCCGTCATTAGAGCTTGGCCACCACTTTCTTGCCCTCCTTATATATGACCAAGCAAATGATAATTGTTTTTGATGCTATGTAGTATTTCAAAATTTGCTATTTATGTTAAATTGAAGGTTTCTCGGTTCCCACTCCTGTAAACTTGAGATATTTAATTTCAATGATTAGAAGCAATGCAGGGGGAAATTAACAAAAAATTAATTTGGATGCTAAAGTATGCAGCTTAGCAATATGTCAAGTTGAGTAGTTCATATGATGTTATTAGTGGTTTCTGGTTCTTCTTCTGGCTGAAATCCTTCTTCTTGTTTGTAGTCAACCTGCTTACGTCTTTTTTAATTTTGGATAAACAAGGGACTTTAAGAGAGAACAATGGAATGACAGTGGACAAGTGATCCTCCCCAGTTGTAGGGAAAAGAAATGGAATAAGAAATAGCCAAGACTCTTTAACTCAAATGAGCTTTATAATCTCTTTGTAGATTCACAAGGGACATCTTATAACTCACTATTTATCATGCCCTAAAAGAGTTTGCTGCTTGACATATAATTCACTATTGCAGGTGGTTCGCTTTTTCTTTTTGATAGGAAGGTATTGAGGTATTTTAGAAAGGATGGACATAATTGGAGAAAGAAAAAGGATGGAAAGACTGTGAAGGAAGCTCATGAAAAGTTGAAGGTAAGCTTTTGATTTACCTATAACCTGGTCTGTGGTTAATCTAGTCCAGACAAGAATTTATCTTCTAGGCAGCCCTAAGGTAACTCAAATTGTTCTTCAGTCATTATAATCTTGTTAGAGAATAAGTCCTCATAACCTAATACAATGTTATACTAAAGTTTAACTTCCTTCAAGCAAATATTAGGTGGGAAGTGTTGATGTATTACATTGCTACTATGCTCATGGAGAAGAAAATGAAAATTTCCAGAGGCGAAGCTATTGGCTGCTTGAACAGTGAGTATGAACTAATTTTTGGCCAATTTTTTTAGTTGTTTCTCTAATTTACAGTTCATGGCGGACTGCTTGTCTATTTTGACTTGGTAGTTTCTCTTAGACCCCGATTAGTAGGTGGTGCAATAGTGCAGTTGTAGAGTTGTGGTTTTATGTTGTCTTGGTTCACCATGTAGATAACTGTGAACATGCTATTGGAGTTTCAAATATGAGCAAATTTTGAAGTTTTCAGCATAAATTTAGGGACAGGTCATAGTAAATTGAATATGCATCCTGTGGATGCGATCTGAATATACTGATCAAAATATGGTTTTATAATCGATTTGTTTACTGCAGGGATATGATGCACATTGTTTTCGTACACTACTTGGAAGTTAAGGTATTTATTTCTTTTAATTTTCTTTATTTTTACTGTTGTTCTTGTTTATTATTGCCTGTGGTACAGTTTTTTTTTTAAAATCTATTATTTCAATATAAATTTCACCCTGGGATATGTTATTGTTAATAATGGGTTGCAGGAGTTTTTCTTGGACAGTTGAAAGACCCAAGCAACCAATGTTTTTCTAAGGTTTAAAAACTGTAACTTAAATGTTTAATGCTGATCCTTTGCCAAGTGATTCATGAGTATTGTAACTTTGTTCGGTCACGTTCATAGTCAAGTGGCTGAAGTTCCAACCAGTGTTGGAGATCATGTGAATATTGATGAAATCGTGGAACCTGTGTTCCTTTGGATTATGTCACTGTGCTTTTACTATTAGTAGTAGCGTGTTATGGAAGGATTTATTTACTTTGTTAGTACCTGTAGTTTCTCCTTAGTTTCAAATTGGCCTCTGCATTTTAAAAGTTTTTAATACGTTCTTATAATTTTCAAATTTTGTGATCGAGTTCTTGTGTGTTGTGTGAATCCACCATAGAGCCATTAACAGGTTGGTTTATTTAAATCTTTGCCTATTTGGCAGCATCTACTGCTTTTGACCTCAACGACACTGTCTAAAGCATCTAGTGATTTATTTGACATAACAGTCCAATCTAGCATCTACTGCTTTTGACCTCAACGACACTGTCTAAAGCATCTAGTGCTTTATTTGACATAACAGTCCAATCCATACTGTTTGTTTGGTTCAATGGAGAGGGGAGTGGGAAGGATTTTATTGTTCTCTTGTATTTTTTGCCCAGCGGGAAGGGATTTTAATACTGTTTTCTTTAGCTGATAAAGCTGTGTAGCCCTTTTTAGTCCTTTTTCTATCACTATATTGTACATTGGTCAAGAATCTCTAAGTGGAAATCAATCAGAAAGCGTGTAAAATTGGCTAAAGTGGAAATTAGGATTGTGTTCTTGACTGATTTGTACGTTTGATAAAGTATTAGCAGATAAATTTGGGTTCCATTCTCTCAGGGTCATAAGACAAGTGTTGGAGGAAAACCAGATATTGATGAGGTTTCATCAGATTCCCAAAGAGGCAGCTCTGCATCATCTGGTTTTTCGAGAACTTATAATAACGTGCCGTCAAGAAGTACAGATTCCATGAGCCCAACTAGCACTTTGACATCCTTATGTGAAGATGCTGACTCTGGTAGCACTTCTTTTTTAACTTTACTTTTAAGGCTATCTTTTGCTTATTCTTTATGACCTGATTTATGATGCACCAACATAGATGCAAGACACGCTCAAATAAAAATTGAAAAGACAGAGGACCTTAGAGAAAGTGATTTGGAAATAGTAAAATTGTGTAAAATATTACCAATCAAAATTAGGCACATGTTATGTCAGAGCTTCATAAGACATGACAGAATACATAGCGTTTATATATGTCAATCGTATTGTTAAGTTATGGGGAAGCTCAATTCACTTGTAACCCCTGAATGGTTGGCTTTGAGTTTCTGTTAGAGGATATTTACCAAGCAAGTTCTGGGTTGCGCTCATTTCATGTTTAACCAAGTATGACAAATAATCCTTCAATGGACAAGATTGGTGCTGGTACAAATAGTTCATATCTCCCGCATCCCTTTTCAGGTTACCATGCAGTTTTATGTGTTTGCCTCCCTTAAATTGATTATTGATGACTCGTGTTATTTAATCACTCATCGTGTGAGCCTATTTGAGATTTAACATCTGAAAACATTTGAGAATCTTTCCAGGTGATCGTGCACAGACATTGATTTCTGGAGCAGACTATCTTTTACAAGTTCAGCAAGATAGACCTGGAGGCAGTGATGCTAGTACTTCTTTCATTGATGGCCGAAAAACCAATGGAATGGCCTTGCGGGGCGATGGCTCTGAACAACTTACAAATGGATTATCTACTGATCCGTCCCTTGTGTCATTTACTTCCATCCCATCCAATTCAATAGGAAACATTCTTGAACAAGAAAATACTGTTCCGGGTGACCTTTTAGGCATAAAAAATGTCCTCATCGGGTCAGCTGGGAGTTCTCAGACCCTCCAATCAGATTGGCAGGTACTATCTGCTTGCTTATACCATATCTGCCAATAGCATCTTCTTGGAAGTCTTTATTGTTTAGGATTGAGAACTCATCCTGTAAAATTTGGTAGATCAGATATACTGGTAATGTGTGCATCTTAGCGCATAAAACAATAGTTAAAATTAGATAGGCCTTTCCTTTTTGTCAATAGGCTACTCTGGAGCCATGATATAGGCTTTGCCACGATTTCCAGGTTGATTTCTTTTGTCAGAAGTTTACTAGATTTGCTAGGGTTGATGTCACAATTACAACAGTCTGTTCAATTAAACTAAAAAATTTGGACAGTTCCGTGGTTGCTAGTTTACATATTGATATATGAGAATTTTTAAGAAAGCCTTTCATTTGCTTCTCTTGAATGGAAGTTTTCTTTTCCCAGAATGTATTTTAATTTTAGGCCTAATTCTTCTTTTGATGATCGATTCAACCTCTGATCAAAAAGATATACTTTGGTTATATTTTATCTCTTCAACAAGTTTAGTAAAGAGCATAAGGACCCGATTGTTCTGATGGACAGAGAAGAATCTATAATTAGCTTTTCAGGAAATTGCCAAACGAACAATTTCAACAAAATCTTTCAATTTCTTATTTTCGATTTGGGCCAAGGGTTGAAGATTTACCCCATGGGTGATAGATGAGAAGCATGCCTTCATTAAGTCAGAATTGAGCCATCTTATATGGTGGGAAGGTATCTAATTTTCACAATTACGTGGTTGGCATCTGGTTATTATGTAGTTTCATTCGTCCTTGAAGGTCAACATATAATTGTTGAATGGCATGGTGCTTGGGAGGGTTCTGGCTTGGATGGCACTGTTTGTTTTTGTTTTGTTTTTTCTTGGAAGAGTGTAGGGATATCTAGAGTAAGGTGACATAGAGTAAGAAGGGAATCATGAGAGTTGGTGCTTGGTATTTTAAAATGTCTGAAATTTATAACACAGCGTATGTTCTCTCTAGAATATAAAATTCTCCCAGGGATTTTGTTAAGGTTGCAGAGTTGTGATTTTTTTCATATAATGAGCTGATTTCCGGATCAGCTAGTAATTGCTTAGTTGTTAAGAATCTTGGTGAGTAGCAGCTATTTATTTGCTTGGTCGTCCATTATCTTTTAAGTGCAATATCTGCAAGCTTCATACTTTAGTGTTATTCATTTTGCTATTTGAACTGTTGATCCAGATCCCTTTTGAAAGTAATCCAGGGCAGATGTCGAAAGAGCTTACAACCCAATCGCTGGGTTTGGAGTTTGGCTCTGACTTTAGCAATGGTTTGCTGCAACATGAAACACATGACCATGTTGCTTCTGGCTCTCTAAATTTTAACTGTCAGCAAAAAGAGGAGCCTGTGCCGGAAAACTTTCCAGAACAGCATACTGATACTCAATCTCAAATTTTGCTGAAATACAATTTTGGGAATGAAGGTCCCACAGAAGAAAGTATTAATTATGCCTTGACTGTGACGCGGCGGTCCTTATTAGATGGGGAGGAAAGCCTAAAGAAAGTTGACAGCTTCTCTCGATGGATTACTAAAGAACTCGAAGAGGTGGATGATCTCCATATGCAGTCATCACCTGGCATTTCTTGGAGCGCTGATGAATGTGGGCATGTGATAGATGATTCCTCATTGAGCCCCTCCCTCTCTCAGGACCAGCTGTTTAGCATAAATGATTTTTCACCTAACTGGGCTTATGCTGAATCGGAAACAGAGGTACTGCTCAAATTTTTTATATATCCAGAAAAGATTAGTAATGAAAGGATATATATATATATATATATATATATATGAATTCCAGATTTTATTTCAAGCAAATAACTTTAGCTTTTTCCCCTCCTTTTTTTGGCCATCCTTGGCCCATTATATACTATTTCTCGTTTCCTGTCTTTTCTCCTCCTGTATTCTTGGCGTTGAAATTGAATTTGATACATTTATTTCATGGAGGATGAGATGCATTGAGTCTTTTGCTTCAGATATTAGCTGCTGTTGTCCTGGTCATATTCATTTAATGTATGTGCTAGTCTTCTTATTTTCTTCTCTTTTTATTTTTTTTGGTCGTTTAATATGTGCTCTTTTAAAGTATTACTGGATGATCTTTTACCTTTTTTCTTGCTCCTATTTCATCGCTTTTTGTATCTTATTTGTGGAAATTTTTCTGTATATTTCACTATAGATTCAACTTTTTCTCTTTGGATCTTTGGTGCAACATCATAAAAACGCTGCTGTAATTTGACAGACAACTTACACTATCTATGATCACGCAGGTTTTGATCATTGGAACATTTTTGAAGAGTCAAACAGAGGTAGCGAACTGTAACTGGTCGTGCATGTTTGGGGAAGTTGAGGTTCCTGCCGAGGTTCTTGCCAGTGGAATTTTGTGCTGTCAAGCTCCATCTCTCAAGGTTGGACGGGTTCCCTTCTATGTAACATGCTCCAATAGGTTGGCTTGCAGTGAAGTGCGGGAATTTGATTACACAGAGAGCTTGGCTGAAAATGTTGATGTTTCAGATTTCTACGACAGTTCAACTGAGATACGGTTTCATCTGAGACTAGAGAAGCTGCTTTCTTCAAAATCAGCGCTCCCTTCAAATTACAACTTTGACAATGATATGGTGAAAAGAAACTCTATATTTAAGCTCATTGCGTTAAAGGAGGAAGAGGCTTCCTCAGACAGGGAAGAGCTGATGTCAGAGAAGAATGCGTCCCAGCAAAAGGTGAAGGAGTTAATATTTTACGGGCAACTTAAAGAGAAGCTGTACTCTTGGCTGCTTCGCAAAGTAATTGAAGATGGTAAAGGGCCAAATGTTTTGGATGAAGAGGGGCAAGGTGTGCTTCATTTAGCAGCTGCTCTTCGGCATGACTGGGCAATAATGCCAATCGTTACGGCAGGATTGAATATCAATTTCCGGGACGTGAATGGATGGACAGCTCTGCACTGGGCTGCATCGTATGGCAGGTTGGTAGTATGGATTTTGTTGCAAATAGTTCGTTTCCTAACAGGAATCGAGCTAAGAACTCTGGTTTTTGCTTGCAAGTGAGACACATTTTTGCCCATCTAAGATTTTACTCTATTTTCATCAAATTGAAAATTTTCTAGTGCAGGCTTTACATTGTTCTCCTTTGAAAATAAACTCGCTTGCTGAAAGTCATCCGAAAAAGTGATTGCTTTCTTCAGTTTAAAGCTGACGATGTTGGACATATAGGACATTCTTCATTTAGCATTAATTGAAAATAATTTTTCTTCTTTATACTAGAATCTTTCTCGAAGATGTTGTGCTCAACATGAAGAAAATTGGCTCCGTATTTAATATTTTACCCTCAAATGTTCAGGGAACGGACAGTTGCTGTACTTGTCTCCCTGGGTGCAGATGCTGGAGCATTGACAGATCCATCCCCAACGTTTCCCTCTGGAAGAACAGCAGCAGATCTTGCTTCTAGCAATGGGCACAAAGGAATCTCTGGTTTCCTTGCAGAGTCTTCATTAACCAGCCACCTTTCAACCCTCACAATGAATGATCAGAAGGGAGATGTTGGGCAAAGAGCTTCAGAAGTAGAAGAAGTACAGACAATTTCAAAACGAACAGCAACACCGGGGTTTAACGGTGATATGCCAGATACCCTCTCCCTTAAGGATTCCCTTACTGCTGTTCGTAATGCTACGCAAGCGGCTGATCGTATATACCAAGTATTCAGAATGCAGTCATTTCAGAGGAAGCAGTTAACCCAGTTTGAAGATGATGAGTTTGGACTGTCAGATCAGCAGGCTCTTTCCCTTATAGCTTCTAAGGCATGCAAGGCTGGATTTGGAGATGATTTAGCCCATACTGCTGCTGTGCAGATACAAAAGAAGTTTCGTGGTTGGAAGAAAAGAAAGGAATTTCTAGTAATTCGTCAAAGAATTGTTAAAATTCAGGTCAGTTGTTCTATTCTTCCCCCCCCCCCCCCAACAAGTTTTATACGTCAGTCTAAATATGATTGAATTTCTCTCATTAAATTTTTCACAGTTGTTTGACTCACCATTTAAATTGATTCTTTTTCCTGTCTGGGAATTATGGTCACAAAGCTATTGTTGAGTTAAATAATTTCGGTTGTGTAAAAATTGAGAACTAAGGGTGCGAAACAATTATGCATTTTAGGGGTAACTTCCGCACCTTTCTTTCCCCTTCTCACAACTTTGTATTTGGGGTCATGTGTGGTTATCATTATTGAGGATTCTCTCCACAGTGTAGAATGTTAATTGGGCTGAAGTATTTTCTGTACCTGCTGTCTAAAGTACTTACGGTTTGGTTGCTGCTGCAGTGGCACTCATTTTTGATGAGATGAAATTTCGTTTTAGAGAAGGATGGAGAAGTGAAAAAAGTAGGGAGGATGATGAGATATACTCCTATCCCTTTGTTTATTCTGATGCCCATAATCCCACCTCCCCCGCACCCCCCCGCCCAAAAAAAAAGAAGAAAAGAGGCTATCCAGTGCGCTTATAAGTTAGCTAGTTATATTTTCCATGCGTTTTATATAGTCCTGATCCACATTGTTCATGGTTTGTGAATAGTTCAGCTTATTATGGATATTTTTTGGGTCAGCTTATTATGGATTTATCTTATCTTTATTTATTGATTTTCAAAAATCAACTTAGGAAATGTTGTTTGGATTCCTGGGAGTTATTTTTTCTGTTGTTGGCCCTTGTACAATCGGTACATTCGTCTGATTCTTGAATTTCATGGTGTCAAGGCCCATGTAAGAGGCCACCAGGTAAGGAAGCAGAATAAATCAGTCCTCTGGTCTGTGGGAATTTTGGAGAAGGTAATATTGCGGTGGAGACGCAAGGGCAGTGGTCTACGTGGCTTTCGACCTGATGCCAATAAAATCCCCAACCAAGAAAATGATACTGTGAAAGAGGATGATTACGATGTTCTCAAGGAAGGAAGGAAACAAAGTGAAGAAAGGTTCCAAAAGGCACTTACGAGGGTGAAGTCTATGGTTCAGTATCCAGAGGCACGGGCTCAGTACCGGCGTTTGCTAAATGTTGTCGAGGACTTCCGGCGAACCAAGGTATTCTTTTTAACATTTAGCATTTATATGAAGCCTAAAATCATAATTTTTGGCAAAATTGTTTTTGCTAATTTGATATCTGGGAGGCATCCATGCAGGCATTCCTTTGTTTCATGGGATTGAATTGTAATCTTGGCTTCCTTTGGTGCTTCCGCTCATGACTTTTTTAAAATTTTCCAAGGGAGCTACTTTATCTGATATGCAAATAGATTGGGCAACTGGGTTACTAAATAGGCTTTATAGGGTCTTTTGCTTTGAGACTTTCGACTATTATTTTAACAAAAATCTCCTGCTATTATTAAATTCTGACAGGCATGCGATATGGACGTGATCAATTCAGAAGAGACGGTCGATGGTGTAGAGGACCTTATTGATATTAACATGCTCTTGGATGATGAAAATTTCATACCTATAGCATTTGATTGATTCTTTCTGGTCACTACTCTGATCCTCTCCACTGTATATAGGTGGCCAGAATTGCCTTTATTTGGCATTGAGGAAGTCCTAGCAGTTGCTGTATATATATTATATATACACAAACATATATATGATCAAAATTACGTTGTTCAAAGGCTGGCTATGATTAGACTATCACATATATGGTTCAGTTTTTAGAAGTCCAGGTATTGTCCACTATTGAGATGTACTATGATCTCATGGATCCTGGTTTCATATGATAGGACTATTTCTATTTAAAAACTGGTTAAGGGATAACAACATAATACAGTATATAATTGCATTTTGTCAAGAAATGGACTTTGTTTAAGCGTGTATTTTATTTTTAGAGCTAACAGCGGTACGTTGATGAGCTTTTCTTTTCTACTCTCTCTCTGTTTTTTTTGGTGGAGGATTCAGGCTTAGGTGCAATAAATTCCCTCGAGTATTATTGGGTTGTTTTCGAGTTGTCTCTCAATATTTGACGTTATGACTGGGGAATGTGACATGGCTTGTATTTTAACCATTTCCTTCATTTCTGGGGAATTCACACAATGGAAAAAAATATTGAAAGTGAATAACTGGTATTCTGTTTTTGCTTTCCGACACTTTCGCCCAGAATTGACTATGATCAAAATCTTCCTTCAATCAACTATATTTTTAAAAACTTGTAATATTTAATTTATTTTAAAATGAGTCGGGTATGACATTATGAAATTTGAATATATTTAATGAATTATATTTGAATAATATTTTAATTGGGATTTGAGTATATTGAATTAAATATGGAGTATTGTTATTAAATCAGATTTTAATTGGAGGTTCAAATGAATAAATTAATAATTAATTTTATTTATTAATTTTAAATTTGAATAGTATCTTAATTGGAATTTGAATATATTGAATTAAATAGAAAGCATTATTATTAATTATTAAATAGTATGTCAATTGAAAGTTTAAATAGAGAAATAAATAATTAATTTTGAATTTATACATGTTTATCCTAAGTTTCATACCTCTAATTCAAATCCCATTTGAATGAATGAAAAAAAAAATCATATTCTTATAAGAAATGATATTGAGCTACTTTAGATAATATAATTTATTAGAATTTAAAATCTAATTAAATATTTTAGTCCATACATCGCACGGAGAGAAATTTCTAATTGAACTTAGAATATGTACTACTTTTGATTTTAATTATAAGATCTCATTGTAATTTACAAATGAGATCTTAATTACAATGAGATCTTATAATTAAAACTGGAGTTGGTATATACTAACTAGAACTTCAACCTCATGCATGTCCAGAGCGTTACGCAAAGAAAGATACATGATGTGCTGTTCTCTTTTGTGTTGATTTTAGTAGTTTTCATATATGCAGTCCTTAATATTATAAGAGGTATTTTAAAATTTCCGTCCACAATGCGAGTAGTCTCCAATGATTGGGTAGTTTAATCTTCAATCCTATCAATGAGTCTTCAAAAAGCCTTGTTTCTGATCAAAACCCTAAACTCAATGAAACCAAATTTCAGGAACTAAAATTGGTATTAATTCCATTATTAGTACTACTACTACTATTAAGAATATACCAATGCTGGAAACACAAGGACACAATGCTGAGGGAGTTTATATATGCTGGTTTCTGGTTTGGAACCCCCCCCCCCAAAAAAAAAAAACATCCGCAAGCACATATGATCTCCAGAATTTATGTGGGAGACTACTGAAAGAAAAGAGGTAGGACGTTAGTGAGTAGACAACAGGCGGCGGAAGAGAATAGATATTGTTTAATTAGAAAAAGAAAAAGGAAGAGTTGTGAGGTGAAGGCGTTGTTGGGAAGTCATGTGATAATGGGTTGGTAGTGGTAATGATCCGTTATCTGTCTGGACGGCACCTTTCTCAGGAGGAAGAGCACCAAAGCAGATGGAATAATCTCCACCAGCTGCATCCCAAATAATAATAAAAACTAATCATAATTACCTATTAGAAATATAGAAATAGAAATTGACTAACCCTATCCTCAGTCAACAGCCGCCACTCAATGTGAAAAAAAAACACTCACATCTCTACTAACAAAATACGACCTCTGGTTCTAATTATAAGAGCTAGTTGATTAATTTGAGGAGATTAAGAAAATAAGTAAGTTAGTTATTTGTGATAAATAGATATTGTCTTTTCTAAATATCCTTACTAATTAAAGTTTATTAGCTAGAACTACCATTATTAGGAGAACTATCTTGGAAAAAATGCATAAATATAAGAGACAAAGTGGATTGGAGTCTTATAATTAAGACCAAAATAAAAGTCAAACAAGATATTATATTAAGAACCGGAGGTAGTAATAATTTAAGCAATTTGCCAAGTTGTTCGACTTTTTTTTAATTGAAACTGAGCTTTTCCATTTCAATTTCAAAGTTCAGGTAGGTATTCTACACTAAGTTCATACATTAATTTTATAATCACGCTTTTTTTCATAGGATAATCATGCTTTAGTTTATGGAGGTAAAATGTAGATTTTTAGATTTTTTTTGCCCTTACCATACTATGTTCTTAAACTATTCCATTGACTAAACCTAATCACATTTTAACATAACAATGAGGTTGCCTAACTGTTTTAGAAGAGAAACCTGCATGTACAGTCACTTGATGAATGAAGCAATAAACGCTATAAAAGCATGAGATCCCCTACATTCACAAAATATAATATATATATATATACTTCTCCGGTCCTTAATATAAGACCCATTTAACTAATTTGATTAGATTAAGGAAGTTAGGTAAGTTAGTTAATTATAAGAAAAGTGATACATTTTTCTTAAAACATCATTATCATTTTTCTTAATACCCCCTCTCCTTTTTCTACTTGATTATGGTTGAGAGAGTATCCATAGGGGTAATTTAGAAAAAATTGATAAATATGAGAAATTGGTCTTAGACTTAAAACTAAAAGCAACTTAACAATTGAGTCTTATATTATGGATCGGAGGAATATATATATATATATTTATATATATGGTGCATTCAAAGTGCCATATAAAAAAAGCAAAGATAATAATGCTGAAACTTACCATGTAATAAACTAGGTTAAGAATGGGATGTTCCAAGACATCAAGATCTGCGCCCTTATTGAATGCAGAGAATGCAAGCTACAATTTCGAAGAGTGATAAATATGGTATCGTAAGAAAAAACACAAACTTTACATGTTATTGTAAGAAAAAACACAAACTCTATATGTTATTGTAAGACAACACAAACTTTACATTAGATAAATTGATTCCGAACTGAACAAGACTCACCATAACACATCTTATCAGAAAACTAGTGCAGCATATACATGTCACCGAGCCAACCTGTCAAGGAAAAGAAAAGTTAGGCTCAAGAATACTGAAAATCTAGGGAAAAAGATGTTTCACTTCTTTGATTTGCAGCACAGCTTGAAATTGATTAATATCATGAGAAATATATACTTGTTTTTCGAGGATTGAAAAATATAATGTAACTTGCATATTGATAAGAACCTCGTAAAGCTTAATTACACGGCCTCTGGATTCAAAAGGGAAGCGCAGCAACAGGATAAACAACCTACATCAACAATAGGGTTCAATGACATAGAGCAAGAGAAGTTTGGTTATCTTGGATCCCCTCCATTAATGGAGCAGTACGCCAACGAGTGAGAAAGAGACAGGTGGTAAGTTTCACCGGAAGGAAAATAAGATCCTCTAAAATGACTTAAAAAATGAGTTTACTTCTACGGAATGCACAGTGATAGAAGTGGATTCCATGTGTCTTTCTCTCTCTTCACTTCGACTATATTTCGCTTTAGAGGATCTCGATTGGAGGGTGGGACTTACCCCTATCTCTTCTCTCTCCCAACTTCACCCTCTATGGTAGTGAAGAAGATCTAGACTTAAATTTTGCTAGGTAGGTAGCGTGGGGGCTCAGCTTACCTCCCTCCATATATCAAGAACCCCAGAGCAGCAAAGAACGAAATAACTGGAAAAAAAAACATTGGAACAAGATTCAGCACGTCGACAACTATAAAACTAACGTTTTTTTTGGCTTTTTTTTTGTTTTAGGTATTTATCCACTAGAAAAGGTGTAGATTTGATGTTAGAAAAGTAAGAATTACTTGAATATATAAATTCATTACACGATAGTTTCAGATCATTCTAGAACAAGATTTGCCATACAACAGAGTTATAGGTCAGAATATTCATGGAAATAGAACTTCATTAACATTAAGGTTAATTAAAATGATATTTGACTGTGATAAGTAACCTGCAAGGAAGAGTTTAGCAGATTCTGCTCCAGCAGGAGGTTTGCTCACGCCATATAAATCCAGATGCAAATCTATCATATTTCAAGACAAAGATTGAAAAGGACAAAATAATAATAATTTAATGATAAAGATGCTCCTTCTTCTAACCTTACATGACTAACAAAGAAAACCATATTTGTGTCCTTGCTTGCCTGTATGAAGTATATAATCCATTGATGATATAGTAAGAAGGCCTAAGTTTATCTGCTCGTAAACTTCTTGCCTGAAACAATTTGAAACTCACGAACCAAATAAAACTTACAGGAAATTAATCACAAACGATTTTCATTGTAATCCTCCTAGAAGATAGTAGTAGATGTACCTGGCTATATATCTCAGCCCAGAACAGCACAAGTAATGTAAAAGTGGAGAAGAACAGAAGACCAGGAAGATCCATCAGCACCTGCTCTAACGCCTATAACATGATTGATTGTATAGAATAGTCAAAACATGATCTCAACATAATTTACGCAGTAGCGCTTTAATTTAGGGGGGAAAAAAGTCAAATTGCAAAAACTCTCATCGTATTTTTTTCATCAAAGAGTTTGATCAATAGGGGATACATGAAAATGTACGAAAGTTTTTCTTCTTATGTATTGTTAGAAAAATGAGTGTGTGATGGGTTAAAAGGAATGCATAAGATCAAGTAGGTTCAGGCATATACTAATGTCCTATCAGTTGTACTTAATGTACAGCTAGAAATAGACATACAAGGTGTCCTAGAAGTTCGTAAATCTATTCAGACTTATTATATTGTACCAGGGCAGGTTTGAAGCGAAAGTTAAGGTTTCAATCATTTCAGCTTTCAGGCCAAAGCTTTAGCCCTTTTCTAAGGTGCTTGGCCCATCACTTTTCATGCACAGCCTGGGAATTTGTTTTCTCCCAGCCCTTATTCAATAGTCAATGTTTAGTGGAGGATGAAAATCCTGCATGTGCACTGGCCAT